ACACCTGACTGGTACCTACTAGGTATCGATCACAACGGTAGGCAAGAACTAGGCCGCTGGGGTCCTCTCTCTCCGATCTTCTAAGGGATTAAGTCGTACCCTCCTGACTGCCTAAGGGTACACCTGACTGGGTACCCTACTAGGGGTATCGATCCACTAAAGATTCACATCCTTTAAGTTAAGACTGATTTGGAGATACTGAGAACCGGCGAAAAGTGCAGTTAACCTGATTTGAGATACCGTTAGGAGTGTGGACTTTAACCACTTAAGGTTGATTTGAGAATTTCTAGTTATAATAAATGTTTAAGGAAAAATTATTGATTCTAAATCTGTGAATGATGCTGGTGAGGTGCAGTTGTGCAGACATGCAGTTTTGCTTGTTAATTCACTTAATTGCCACTGTTTTTTGGTACTGTGTTTCCTGCCGATTCATCTAATCATTTAAAAACTTCTGATGCTTTCTTTGATGATTTATGGTCTGATAAGAAGATCTTAGATCACTCTTTGATACAAGTAGAAGTCTATTTTTTTTTTTTAAAAAATGGCATTTGATTTATGTGAATTCTTTTCTTTCCATGCAGTGGTATATAGGAAAAGGGTGAGTAAAAGACATTTTTTAGTCCTAGACTTATAGTGGCGGAGACAATTTTAGTCCTTTATAAAATATTTTTGCCATTTTTTGGACAGACTTATCGTGACGAGGACAATTTTAGTCCTCCGTCTTAAATTCCCGTCTGTTGACCGTTTTGAGAGGGGGTAATTGTGTTAATTCATCATTGTGTCAATTCATCTTACCTCTTTTCGACGCTATGGACTGAGGCCCATACAATGCAGTAATGCAACTCTCTCTAATGGAGTCTAAGTTACGATCCTCTGTTTTTAACATTCTGACGAAGCACTCCACGGCACCGCGCGAGCATGGTTGCGCGACCTTCCGGGCTGACTGCGAGATTGCAGAGAACTAGGAAAATGGGACCTGTCATGTGACCAGATTTCACCACGGCAAGTACGGCTTGAACGAAGCTGAGTTTCACCGTTCGGATTCTGAACGTAGAGAGTGGAGAAGCGGAGGGAGAGCACCGAGAACGCTTATTGCCATTTTATTCTGATCGTCTAAGGCTAGGCTAAAGAGCGCGCTGGCGGCATGGTCCTGCGATTCCGGGAATCGATCAGCGGCGAAACAATTCGAGAACAAACTAATTTCACTTTGTTTCGGTTTTCTAACGATAGATTCACCAACAAGGGAGATCTGGGCACAATTGCACCAATCCGCAACAGCTTTTGTAGAAGTAATGTGCCAAGAAATAAAGATGGATCAGAGGTTTGGGGTCGTTGACCATCAATGGAGTCCATGCATTTGACCGGGAAGCAGTACAAAGCTCACGTCCGGCTCATGGGTAGAACCAACGATTGCTCGGGAGTTCTGCCGCACCACACTTCGCAGAATGTACAGGACAATATCCATTCCTTACAAGCAGTGATCCTCGGAGAACTGCGAAACCTTCCAAGCAATCGGAGACCAGGGAAACCAATCGTTAGAGAGCTTGGTAAATGCAGGGAAATTTTGCCGGTGGCAGGAGCTTCCTCCCCTAATTTCTATTTCTTTTCGTTTCTAAAAATCTACTCTCTTGGTTTCTGTGTTCCACCGCTATCTCCACCAATCAGCTACCAACCAGAGTGCATGCACCACTATTTTCCTTGCTTTTCCATCCTCCAAATGCATTATTCAGTAACTGAGAAATATGCCACCACCCACATCCATTGTTCTTCCAAAATCTCCCTGGACTATTTTGGAGTTTGCCACTAGTACAGAAATTGGAATGGACGCCCCACTTTCCGAGTCACCTACTCAATGAAGGTGTCTCGGAAATGATATTATTACAATAATAAAAGGGAATCCGCGGCACCCATGGCAAATGGTTGCCGCGGATATTAAATTATTAAAATAATAAATGGGTATCCGCGGCACCTTTTGGAAAAGGTGCCGCAGATATTTTATTATTATTTTAATAGAATTGGAATCCGCGGCACCTTTTAAAGAAGGTGCCGCGTCTCTTTTTTTTTTTTTTTTTTTTTTTTCATTGTCGCGCGAGACCTAAATTTCCCAAATCCCTAATTTCGACTTCGCCGGCCAATCAAATCTCTCTGCTCACGCCACGCCCTTCGTCTCCGCCCTCCAATCCTCCATCGCCGGTCACGCTCCAGCCGGCAGCAGCCTCCATCACCATCGCCGATCACGCTCCAGGCCTCCAACCGCTTCTTCTCGCAGACTCGCAGTCGCAGCAGGCTTCGTCCGTTCTTCGTCGCAGTTGGTCTCAGTCGGCAGTCGCAAGCTTCTTCGGTCGTCGGTCCAATGAAGCGTCCAGACTCCCAGTGGCAGTCGTAGGCCTCCATCTTCACAGGTAAGTGTGTATATACCACCATTTTACAAGTGTATATTACAAGTTTTGACTTTCAATGGAGAGTCCAGACTTCCCGTGGCAGTCCCAAGTTTTGACTTCGTAGGCCTCCATCTTCACAGACCTAGATTGATTTACCTGGAATGGAAATAAACCATCCAAGTGAGTAATACCAAACGGCCATGTTTATGCACAATCTATAGCAAACTTCTACCCAAAAGATATATTAAAACAAAAAATGGGATAACGAAATGCATCATAGCCTTGTATCTATCCATACAGACATAATATCAATGATCAACACAAATAAAATATATTCCAGTATATATTTTACAACACTCTGAACTCTCTATATATTCCACCATTTCAAACTTGCACTCTTCATTCTCAGTATACAAAAAAAAGGAAGTAATTTTGTGCCTTGTGGTACTTGTGATGATAAGTAATTGAGTTCATTGGATTGTGCTGAATAAGGATAAGGTAAAGCTTACCTATGAGGGGGTAGGGATGTTAATTATACTTTCTGCGTATAAAAAATGAAAATGGTAACAATTGTACTTAACTATTTATATTTGTTTTATTTTTCCAATAAACTCAATAACACTATTATTTTTCTTCCCTCCTTCCATTGGCAGGTTCTCACCCACGAAAGTCTTCTCCCCTTCCCCCCTCATGCTTAATTTCATATCTTCTCTTTGTTTTGCAAAGAAATTGATAGCAAATGGACTATGGACCTTTCCTTCACTATTTTAATATTATCCTAATTATCATATTTGTTTCTTTTCCAGCACCTGGAGAAGATTCTTTTGCCAAGAGAAAGGAAGAAAAGAAGAAGGGAGTTGATAAGCAAGAGAAAAATAGATTGCAAAACTTGAAACAGGCTGCAAAAGTTGGTGCAGTGCCAAGGTCTCACTCTTTAGCCTTTTGGTGTTTCATTTATCAAACTTTTATCAACTTGGTATGCGCTGTCATAGCTTGTGGTGGCTCTTTACCCTTGTTTCCTCATTGACATCTTATGCACTCTTATAGTTTGTGGTGGCTCTTTCTTTTCTTGTTCCCTTTGCTTCCTGTTTTTCACCCTATGCCTTTGTTACTTTGTATGGCATATTGATATGTACATCTTAGCCATACCAAGAACATCTCCTTTTTCCATCTCATTCCTTAATTTTCTAAGGCAAACTGTACTATGAAAGGTGGTAAACTCTGCTTATCTGCCTTCCCAAGAACTATAAAGTGCAGGAGCATAGTGTGTTGGCATCAATCATAACATATACTCTGTAGTACTAATGATCTGTTTGGTACTGTAATATGATTCCTGAATAGCTATGCTAGGATTTTGATTAATTGTTCACCACTGTCTAAATTTCATGAAAAAAGAGGGCTTCCACTTCAACAGATTTTGGTTTTGCACTTCTCTGGAAAAGTCTGGTCCAGTTGGAATTGGAAAAGTCCTAGTGTGCTTTAGGTCTTGTATGAGAACTGAGAAGATCATTTGAGTCCTCTCTTGATTGGCACATAGAACACATTGAACATAAGAAAACTGGGACCTAATTATGTGGTGGGCACTAATTATGTGGCTAAAAACAGCATCTTTATTTTATAAACATTATCAGAAAGATGGATCCTGTTAACCCTTTATAGCTCTCTACAAATCTTGGTATAAAATAAGAAAACTGGGACCTCTCTATCTCATCTCTGCATTATCTGAGGCTCTGAGCTGGATTTTCATTATTGTAGTGTCACAAAATAACTTATATGTTAAAGCTTAGCTTAGCTGTTGAAGATGATGATTATAATATATATATATATATATATATATATATATATATATATATATATATATATATATATATCTTCTAAAGTCTTGAGCTGCAATTCTTTATTCTCCTTTGTTCTTCTTTCTCAATTCTTTCTGTTTCTGGGCAGTCATTTAAGTTATCAGTTCAAGTTGAAATATATATATATATATATATAATATATATATATATATATATATATATATATATATATATATTGTGTGGATACACAACTCTCAGATCTCACTGCAGATTCATTCTCAGGTTATTTGTTTGATCTGAATCCTGGCCTCTTTGTTTATATTTTGGTACAAAGCTAGCTGTTATTAAATTAATTGGATAATTATTATTATAATTATACAATCTGCTTTGCATTGCATGTGGGCACACTCAATTTGTACAATTGTACTACAACTATGCAATAGGTGATATGCAGTACAGTAGTTGATGAATCAAAGTATATATGAGAGAATTCTTCTGGTACTACCATTATATTTGTACTGCTATTCTATTATATTGTATTGTATGCCATTTCTCCTTCTATTAAAGTTGTGGGCAATTGGGCATGCAACACAATTCATTTCATTGACCCACTGACTGTCCAACACAATTCATTTCATTGACCCACACATTCCTACATTTCAACACTTAACACTTCAAATCTTTTAATACATTAGATATCTCAGCTTAAATCTTTTAACACTTCAAACATTTTTTGATAGTTTGGTGCACTTGTAACACTAAAACAATATTGCTTCTTGTTTGTCTCATCTACAGAAGGTTGTATCTGCCATTCTTACTTCAGCGAGTGATCCAAATTGGCGTACCAGATCAACTACATCAACCTTTTTGCGAAGTTTCATGTACAGGTATAGTATTTCTATTTGGGTTTACTTTTGCACAATTTTTGACAGTTGTATTCAAGTTTTACTTTTTGAAGTGGAGAAGAGAGATCTTGTGTAGTTATCCATCCACATTAAAGTTCTCCCTGTATTCATTTTATAAGATGGCTATAACTATGTAGATATTTGATAATCCATCCACATTAAAGTGATCCATCCATCCACAACTGTATAACATTAGTGTCTTTTTATTCGTATTCAGCAAGATTATAAGTGCTAGAGAGTATTGATACATTAAGTTTAGCATAAGTGGAGTAGGAATACTCTCTTTTACTATAGGATATAGCTTTAAGATTGAGTGGATTTAGGGAGGATCTTCGATTATATAAGTGAAAGGCTAAAAATTGTAATAATCGAATATCCATATATGATATTCATAGTATTATCAATTGGCAGATATGGATCGGAGTTGGATGTATGAGAAACGCAGTACACTCAAATATATACAAGGGGTTCAAGAGTTTATACAATATGCTGAAGAAAATAGAAACAAAAACGCGGAAGATTTTATAACGTGCCCGTGTTGTGATTGCAAAAATTTTAAATACAACTTAATGTATATTTGAATTATAATACATTAATTAATATGTTTACTAATTTGCTCAAATTAATTTTTTTTTGTAGATATTTGAACAGCCCACCTACTCCATTAATGAAATAGAAGAAATCCGCGAGTTGTGGGCACAATACTTTGTAGATCGGTGCTTGTAACTTTAGTTGGTTTAAACATTATCTTTATTATTATTAATTAACTTATGTTTATGTTTTGTTAAAAAATTGTATAATTATATTTTGAAGTATATATAGTTATGTTTGTGTTGGTAATTACTAGTGTTGTTTGAATTTGTTGTTGAATATATACGTTTAATTAGTTGTTAATGGTTTTGTAAATTTTTGTGTGAATTTGGAAAATTATGTACAGGTTTAATTTTGAGCAAATAAAATTAGAGAATTATTGAATTTTTAGGGCAAATTAGGAATAAAAAAAGGTGGATATCCGCAACACCCTCTACGTAGAGGGTGCTGCGGATACATTTATTAAAAAAAAAAAAAAAAAAAAAAAAAAAAAGCTTTCCGCGACACCCTTATGCTAGTGGGTGTCGCGGATATGAACTAAGAAAATGACTTTCCGAGGCTCCTTAAAAAATTTGTGGTCAGCTTTTCGCGGAAAGCTAACCACTTTCAGCGTCACAGGAATCCGAGTCACCTGTGCAGGTGACTCGGAAAGTATTTTACAGGTGACTCGGATGCAATTTTTTGTACTAGTGTGCTCTTGTTAAGACGTGGGCTAGAGATGGGTCACTATTGACGACGCTACTCGGCGGCGGCTTGGGACGGACGGGTAGTCGGCACGGCGGAGCGGCGAGTGAGTGTTGGATCCTCTGCAGCAATTGAAGACGGAGCTTGCAAAGTGTTGGATTCTTTGACTCGTATATACACACGTGGTACAAGTCTGCAATGGAACTACCTATGTCAATGTAGATGTGCTAAAAAGTTATAAAGATGGGAATAGTATGTTACTGGTTGAAGGTACGTATAGTATAGTACATCATTCATTCTTTAGTTTGCGGTTGCTCCAGCTCAGATCATATCAGAATTTCTGTGTTTTGCATCAATGGTTACCTATATTTGGTCTGCATGCCTGAGCATATAATGGTGGTGGAATGAATCCTGATAAAATGTGTCAATGCATGTCTTTCGGCTATTCTCAACATTTCTGGTCAAAGAAGAGGCAGCCATGCTGTTTTCAATTCATCATGGGAGCCAATCACATTGAATGACAAAAATGTCCTTCATTTAGATGACTGTCTAACAGAAATATAGACGGAGGACCAAAATTATCCTCGTCAGGATAAGTCTGTCCAAAAAACGGCAATTTTTTTTATTAAGGACTAAAATTGTCTAAGCCACTATAAATCTAGGACCAAGAATGTCTTTTACTCGAAAAGGGTGAGAAATAAGAGCAAGTGCAGTGGATAGTGTGTTATGGCATGTTTGTTTTATTCGTTGAATGTTACAGACTTACAGTGTCCACCAGGAACCAAAGCTGGGTGTTCTTTTAGGAAAGTGTGTAGCTCTTGAGAAATTGGTTATACTATGTGCTAAAAGCCTAAAATTATCTAACTACTGCTTTAGACCTACCTGTCTGTATAACTTGTGGACTTGAAAATGTAACTTATGTTGCTTTAATAAATTCTGGTGATAGTGAATCTAATAAAATGGCTTGTACTCTTGTAGAATTCACATAATTTTCTTTTTTGCTTGTAGAATTCAAAACAAATGGATGATTTTTCATTTTTGTATACAAGGAAATGTTCTACTTCTCAAACCGAATCGAGCTAAATCTGAGTCAAAATTGAACTCTTTTAAATCGAATCGAAATCGAACCAGACTACAATGTTAAATCGAATGACTTCATTTTTTCAAAATCGAAAAAAACTAAACTGAACTGAACCTAAAAAAAACGGAAACCAAAATAACCACCCTAGGTAAGAGTAGTCTTGAAAGAGAGAAAATATAAAGTACAAGAATTCAAAATAAAGTAATTGGAAAAGCTACAGAAAAATAAATAAAAAATTAAAAACCCTTAGAGGGAAATATATGCATTTTGCTTTTCTAATTATCGTCAGAACAAAACTCTTCAAAGGTTAAAATGTCATGACAGATTAACCGCCTAAGAATCCAACAAATTCTCATGCAGTCACATTTGGTCAAGGTCTGGCAAGGTCGAATACGCTCAGAAGGTATTCGATGAAATGGTGGTGAGAGATATAGTAGCTTGGAACTCAATGCTCAGTAGCTATTCTCAATTGGGTCTCCACCAAGAAGCTCTCTCTTTGTTCCGGAGCTTGAGGACTGGTGTTGTTAGGCCAGATCACTTCACATTTACATCAACGCTTAGTGCATGTGCATCCTCATGTGAGCTTAAATACGGGCATAAAATCCATGCACTTGTAATTGTTTGAGGTTACAACGCATATTTGTCAGTGAATAATTCACTAATTGATATGTATAGGAAATGTTTGAAGAGATGGAAGTCACGAATGAAGTGTCATGGTGTTCATTATTGTTTGTGTTACGAAAATAAAGAGAGAGAGTTTCTAATGTGCTGTCATATATTGTCTCAAACTCTCATAGGAATAGAAAATACAAAGCCCTATAAATAGGTACTAGAAAACTACGAATAGGAAACAAGTTTCCATATGTCCTACCTACCTAAAACCCTAAACTGCCTAATGTATAGAGATTCTATATATCAAATATATATTTCTTAACACTCCCCCTCAAGTTGGAGCATATATTTTAATAATGCCCAACTTGTTACACAAATGAGTGATAACCCAAAATAACTAAATAACTAATAACTCAAGTCCATTTAGGACACTCCTTTGACCGAAGACCGAACAAGCTTGAGATTGGATACTCATACTCCCCCTCCAACGAAAGCTTCGAACGCCACGAATCCCACGAACAATGGGTGAACACAAAGTGACCGAACAAGCTTGAAATTGGATACTCCCCCTGAAACGAAAGTTGTGAACGCCACCAATACCTACGGACAGTTGGGTGAACTCAACGTGGTGGACCGAACAAGCTTGGGATTGAACCCTCCCCTGAACCAAAAGCTTGGACTCCACCAATACCACAACTCCAGGTGAACCAAAAGTGGACCGAACAAGCTTGGACACACAAAGTAAAGAAGACAAACTCCAAACTGGAGGACACAAATTCTTTACTAGCAAAAGGAAAGTATCTTGACTAACAAAAGGGAAGCATGCTCCAATCAACGAGCATAAAAAAAAAAAAAAAAAAAAAAAAAAAAAAGAGAGATAACTCCAAATCGAGGCAGCACCAAAACAAGATAGGACCAAAACAAGACAACATCAAAACACAAAACGAGACAGCACTAAAACACAAAACAAGACAGCACCAAAACGAGACAAACTGAACGTAGAACAAAAGTCAATGGTCCAAACTAAGTCCAGAACCAAGACAAACAGACTTAGGCGACCCAGGAACAAGTTGACCAAAACATTTTTCAATCGTTGGAGGAGCCTCACGCGCCAGCGGCACGTGAGGCTCACGCGCTAGTCAAAACGTGACGACAATGAAGCGAAAAAAAAAAAATTTATCGTAAAGGCTCTGATACCATGTTACGAAAGTGAAGAGAGAGAGTTTCTAATGTGCTGTCATATATTATATCAAACTCTCATAGTAATAGAAAACACAAAGCCCTATAAATAGGTACTAGAAAACTACGAATAGGAAACAAGTTTCCATATGTCCTACCTACCTAAAACCCTAAACTGTCTAATATATAGAGATTCTATATATCAAATATATATATTCCTTAACAGTTTGCATATGTTAATGTGAATAAGTTGGATGTAGCAGCCAATTTGTTTAATGCAATGCCAAAGAATTGAAAGGGGTGATTGCATTTAATACTATGATTGCTGGACATGCTAGACAGGGTGAAGCTAAGTTGTCAGTGGGCTTGTTTAAGGATATGTTTGATGCGCTATCCACTCCAGACCAATGGACTTTGAGTGCTCTCATGAATGCTTGTGCTGAATCAAGACAAAAATTTCTCGGTTTTATGCTACATGGTTATATTCTGAAAAGTCAAGTGAGGCAAACAATTCTATTCTTAGTTTCTATGCTAGCTAGTGTGAATTCCCATAATGATGTTCTGAAGATGGTTCACAGCATTGATGTTCTCAACCATGTGTCTTCGAATTCTATAATTGATGCTCACATGAAAGTAGGCAACATAGATGAAGCAGCATTTACTGTATTCACCCAGTCACCTGAGAAGAACCTTGTTTCATAGACATCTATGATTGCAGGATTTGCTAGAAATGGCCATGGAGAACATGCAATATATTTCTTTGTAGATATGACAAGAAATGATATCAAGCCAAATGAGTTTACATTTGGAGCTATCTTGCATGCTTGTTCTACCTTAGCTGTGCTAGGTCATGGTAAAATGATCCATGCTTGTGGATTTAAGAGTAGCTTATTTACCCATACATATGTTGGAAATGACTTAGTTAATATGTATGCTAAATGTGGGGAGATAAGAGATTCACAAGCTGCATTTTGTGCCATTTATTTAAAGGATTTGATCTCATGAAACGCCATGTTGTTTTCATATGGGCTATATGGATGGTCTAAGCAAGCTGTTCAGCTTCTTGAGGAAATGCTGGCATGTGGGGTAAATCCAAATAAAGTAACCTTTAATTTGTAGGATTGTTTATGAATTGTAGCCACTCAGGGCTTGTAGATCTCTGTTTGAGTCAATGAGTAGTGTTTACGAAATTTCACCAGGAATTGATCATGTGACTTTCCTGGTTGACATATTAGGTCGCGGCGGCCATATTGAAGAAGCAAGAAAGATTGCTAGTGACTACTTTGGAAAACAAAATAAAATGCTACTATAAGAAGTTCTATTTGGAGCTTGTTCTGCTCAAAAAAAAAAAACATAGAATTGGGAAACGAATTAGGAAAACTTCTTAAAAGTTTAGATCCCCAAAATGAGATGAGCTATATCTTGTTGTCAAACCTCTATTCTGCAAGTGGGCAGTGGAAAGAAGTAGAGATGGTCAGGCAAGCAATGGTGAGTGAAGGGGTTAAAAAGATGCCTGGTTTTAGTTGGATTGAAGTGGATAATCAAATGACAATTTTTGCAGCAGGAAGAGAGTCAAATCCATG